GGCGCTTCCCCTCCCCAAGTTCACTTTCCCCAGCCGCCGCGGGCGCCGGGCCCGCCTCTCCTGCTTCCCCCGTACCTGTCGTGTCAGTCGCGACAGTCAGAGCTCCAGATCCCGAGCACCCGCTTCTCCCCTCAGGGTGCTGTGAAACGCCACCCGGCTTAAGAAAGGTCGGAAGGGGCTCGGGCTCTTCCCTAGAGTGGCAAGGCAGCCGCACCGCCGCTGTGCGGGACAGAAACCCGTGAGCGACGACAAATTCAGCACTAGAAAATTGTCGTGGATGGAGTGGCCGGAGCAGGTTTTCCCGTGCGACACGGTGGAAGTGACTTCATTGACCTTGTTTTTTGTTTGCAGCTCCTGTGCCAGCCTCGGGCAAGGAGATTTGGGTGTGGGGTGCTGAACCTCTCTCCCTACTTGGAATTTAGAGGAGTGGGCTGGGGAGAGAGGGAAATAGTTTCAGCAACGATTCCTAGACTTCTCTTCTGTGTCTCTTTGGCTGTATGCTGGTATCCCAAGCACATCATGAGCTCTCACGTTTTATTCCTTTTGGAGGTTATATGGAAGTAGAGGAGTTTCCCGCTGTTTCACTTTTGTACTTCACCAGTGTTGCAGTAGCTGTGCACATAATTGAATTGTCTGATGTCAAAGGTTTCCAACAGCATATTTTCTAAACATGTTCTCTACCAGTCACCGACTGAAGCCTGGCTGTAATGTGTAACAGCAGCATTTATCTTCAGTGGTTGGTAAAGTGTGTGTGTTTTGGCTCCCTCAGCGCTACTTCGGGACAGGGCATGAAAATGCCCTATTGCCATGGAGAGAAATCAGTTGCACTTCAAATCTGGAAACACGAAGCGAGGAGCAGTGACAGAGAGGTGACTTTTCAATTGGCCGTGGCCTTTGCAAAACTCCGGTCGCCAGAGCCGTGTTGGGCAATGGCAGCAGCGCGGTGACAGCTGATGTGGCTGATGACACCCGAGCTGAGTGCTGGGTTTCTTTGTCTGGGTTTTGTGTAGTGGCGCGTTGCAGGATTTAAACTTTGGTAATTGAAATAAAAGTTGCTTAGATTTTCTGAGCAATGACTTATCAAATACTGATCTAAGCCGGTGTATTCTTAGAGCCAACTAGTATTTCCTGATGCTATCCTGAGCTATCTTTTTTGCTATTACAGGGTATAAGGGGCTTTTTTTTCCTGTTTATTTTTAATCAAGGGGATTGATATAAAGCATCAGTAGCAACAAATGGCTAATACAAACTATTTCCAGTTGTCTTAATGGTTCTTAGCTTACTTGGCTCTTGCAGTTGAAAGCTGCGGAAGAAGAAAGATTGAAAACTATAATGTAAACCATACAGACAAAAAACACCCTGGAAGTTTTAAATTAGTATGGGCCTGGGTTTAATACCCTGTATAGGATTGTTTTAAAAGTCTCTGGAGAGTCGGTTCTGCAGGGACAAATCTCTAAACTACAGTGGTGGAGAGAGCAGTTAGATGATCTACCAAACGCTACTGTAGTAGGAGGAGGGTATCCAAGTTTGACCACTGTGTGGGGAAAAGAATGAGAAGGTCAAACATTGAGGATTTGTGGTGTCTGACAAAATTAAATTGGCTTCTCGACACCATTGAGGCTTTGAAGGATTTTTTCTGGTTCTTAAGTCGGGATAGTCCTGAATT